CTGGTCCTTCATGCGCCGGTTCTGGAACCACACCTGCAGAGAGGAGGGGGCAGGTTCGGTGGCTGGACTTGCCCCGGGGTGCAGAGCCCCGAAGTCCTGGGCGGGAAGCGCACGGCAGAGCCACGGCCCAGACCAGCGCGGTGGGGGCGGGTCCCACCACTGCGACCAGGGCTGCAATCCCTCCGGGAGAGGGGCAGGGAGCCACTCCAGTCCGGGTCCCTCCTTCCCTCTGCCCACGTGACCGGGGTCCCCGGGGTGCGCGACCGGCTGTGGGGAGGCAGGTAGTGGGGGCTACGGCTCCATCACGAGCAACGTTGCCCAGAAACACACCCCCTTCCTTCGGGACACGTCCTGGGCTCTTGCCCAGGGTTAGGGTTAGGGAGGGGTTAGGGAGGGGTCAACCACAGGGCAGCGGTGCACGCCCGGGCTGGCAGGAGGGTGAATGCGCACGCCGTCTGGGGAGCGGGCAATTGCTATTTACTTCCCGCTAAACGGGTGCACACCTGCCGCCCCTGTCCTGGCCGGCCGGTGCGTACCTTGATGGTGGTTTCCGGCAGGTTTAGGGCAGCCGCAAGCTCACACCTCCGGGGCCTCGAGACGTAGTTCTCCCGATAGAATTCCTTCTCCAGCCGGGCAATCTGCTCCCTGGTGAAGGCGGTGCGGTAACGGCGCATCTGGTCACTGGCGCTGCAAGCCAGGGTGCCCTGCGAGCCGCCCCCGCCGCCGCCGGTGCTCTTGGGGGCCTCGTTGCAGCTGTTCGGACTGCCGGTTAGTGCCTCGGAGCCGGACCCTGGGGGGAGCCCAAGCCCAGAGCACAGGCGTGCACACACAGACACATAGCAGACAGGCAAAGGCGCTCACATGGGCTGGGGGACCAAGGTGCGGAGGGGACCCCCTGGGAAGGACCACCTCCTCGGTACTTCAGTTTACTGCCTCACCTGGGACTTGGGGGGGGCGCCCAGGAAGGTAGGATAAGGGTTTGGCTTTGGGATGGGTGTATTTGGGGAGGCCTGGCATGATTGCTATTTGGGAGGCCTCGAAAGCATGCTGGGTACCGGCCCTAGGGAACAGGTGAGGCGCTGCCTCTCTGAGCTTTCTGACCACCACTGAGGGGGGTGGGCAAGAGTGTGCACATCTGACAGGCAAGTGGGTTGAGATGCTCCTTGGTGCTGAAGCGCCTGACCTCTAGGTCTCAGCGCATTGCTGGGCATATGCGAGTGTCCCCGCTCTTGTGAGTGCCAGGCTGCCTGCATAGATGTGGCGGTGTGTACGGGATGCGTGTACTGCAGGGGTGCCCCATTACCTTAGTGAGTTGGAGTGGCGGACAGGTTGCTCTGAGGGCACGTTAGGGTAGGGAGTTCCGGCTTGGCGATGATAAGCAACTAGGGGTTGGCTGCCAAGGGCAAGGGGTGGTCTTTCTTCCCTCCCAGGCTCTCTCTCTACCCACTCCCACAGCTTTGTGGAGGAGTGTCTGCTGGTGGGCTCTTCCCAGCTTTCCACCCATCTCAAGCAAGGCGACTGTTGACACGGAGGGGGACTCTTGGCCATCCGCCCTGCTCTCCAGCTAGCCTTTGGTTGGGGTAGGGTTGTTCAGTTAAGGCTGCCTCCCTCCTCTTGGGGCCTACCCCGAGGAAGGGTGGGGCTGCGGCCCCCTGCAGCTCCTTTTCCTTTGGGTGGAGATATGGGAAAGGAGAAAGGGGGGAGGGACTGATCTCTGCCTTTTCAAATGCAACCGGAGACCAAAGGCAATTAGACCATTGGGACCATTTCCGACCTGGCGCCGCCAAGCCCGGGAAGTGACAAGGTAATTTGGACCTCTGACCGACGTGCAAACTGGTCGGAGGGCTGCAGCACCCGGGTTGCCAGAATCGGCCTCGATTTTACGGTCCTTTATGGACTCCGGGCTTCCTCGAAGTGCCTTCCACCCCGCCAGCCACAAACTGCGCTGGACTCGCGTTTGATCTTGCCTTGGGGGGGGAAGGTGTCTTCCCCTAGCAGTTGAAGCATTCCCACAAAACACTGGGGGGTTGGGGGTGCGCTTTGAATCCCCCAAGCCTACGACTAGAGGGCCCCCCACTCCCGCATAGCTGTCACCCTCAGCCCACCAGTGCCAGAACACAGGAGACCCCCGCCAGGGCTAGACGGCAGGGGAAGAGTTGCTCAGGTGGGTCCCCCTAGCCGTCCAGCCCTAGGGAAAGTGGTGTATTCTTCCTGGCCTGAACTTAGTGAAGGGTAGGCGCAGTGGGAGGCTGGGGAAGCGGAGGGGCGCGGTGGCTACCTTTGCTGTGCTGGTACTCGGCGTTCCCGGTGGCGCAGTCCGGGGTGCAGCTCACCTCGATTTCTTCATAGAAATCCGACTCGGTGTCCGAGCTACTGGGTTGCCCCTGGCCGGATAGGCTGTCGGTGGAGGGGGCCGGAGGTCCCGGGCCGAGCATGGCCGCTCCGGCCGCCCGTGGCTCGGCGCCCAACCCCGCAGCGTT